TTGGGGGGGGGGGGCAGTCTGACTGACTAATGACTGGCTTTGTCCAGCTGTGAGCTTCAAGCCTCTCGGGGACCCTAAATCTGTCAAGAAGGCCGACTGCAGCCCTGGTCCCGTCTCCAGCTTTGTTTGTGTGGGCCGGTTGCTGGGGTGTAACGTCGACCCGCACCCCGTTTTATCTTCGCTTGGGTCCGGCCCACCCACATGACAGCCCATCCTGGACTCACTGCCTTCTGGGTAAATATTTAGTGTCCAAACAACCCGCGCCCAATAAACTGGACTGTGAGTGTGGATACATCTGCTGGGGGGGGGGCAGTGGCTGGTGTGCTACAGCAACTGTGCTGAGGCCTGGATGGTGCTACTGGTGGCACCTGTCCAGCTTTGGGGCGGGGAGGGGGGGGGACATGGAAAGCAACTGCCCAGTCTTGACACGGCCCATAAGGAGACCCAGCAGGTCGTTGGTTCGCTGGGTGACCGGTGACCCCACTCTGTGGGTGTGGCTATTCGCACTGTCACGGGTACAGGGGGCAACTTGTGAAATAATATTCAGTTTATCACCATGACTTTTGGGCATCTTGTGCGTTGTACACCAACGAGTGCACAACTGGCAAAACCCTCAAAAATAAAGGCTGTTATGTTTACTAACCTTGAAGTACATAGATAGATCCACAGCCTAAGCCGCCCCCATCCCAAACCTAGCCTCCCGTTCTGTTTACCCCACAGCTGCTTCTTCCCCACCCCCTCTATGAGTGGGGTCAGAGGTCACGTGGGCCAGGGTGGAGGCCTGCCCCCACATGGAGCAGCTGCTGCGTTTCTCAGGACAGGGACCAGACAGCGGCCGCGGGCACATCTGCTCCGGCGAGGTCACTCTGGCTGGGCCACCGCACCGGGGAGCCACCACTGACACTGGCAATGACCAAATTACCGGGCCTTAAAAGGAGCCGGTCTGCACCTGGATCGGGACGTCAAAGCCGGCACTCATTAAGAAGCACGTCTTTTCAGGATGTGCCGGAAGGATCCGTGTTTCGTTACTAGAACGTTCGAAAACTTTGTGTATGAAAGACGATAAATATTTATTGAGCATAGACGTCAAGTGTATCCAAGGTCTGCGCCTTAGCTATGCTATTAGCAAGCCGGCATTAAAGGCCTGTGCAAGAAGAAAAAAAACTTTTCTTTGTGCTGATCTAAACTGACTGTTTTTTCAGCCTCATCGTTTAAATTGGTGTGACAGTGAAGAAATCCTCAGTCGCTGACCTTGTAAAACCTCCGGAAGATTCTGTGGGGGGGGGGGGGGACCTTGCTTGCAAGAACAAAAAAATAAATGAAAGAAGTGTGTTTGGAATGATTTGATGTGGCGGCGGCTGAGAGGCAGACGAGCGGGGAACTTGTGCTTCAGTTAGTGTCGCTAATTTCTGCGTGCTCAGTCCGATTAAAGAAATGGCCCCCACCTGGATAACAGGCCAGACGCAACATGGCCGCGGTTCCCCCGTGCTCCTGGAATATCGGTGCCGCTTGTGTAATGGGTCACGTGCTTCGCGGGCCGCCCAATCGGGCCTTGCCGTCCGCCATGAGCGCGGAGTGGACGTCGGGGAGTTTCTTAGATGGCGGCTTCGTGGTTCAGTGCCTGAGGTGAGCAGCGTCCTCCGTGGCACGAGTGCGGACTGGGCTCGCTCGGCCGCACCAGCCTGCCTCGCACCACGAGACCGGCAGGATTCAAACGCGGCGGCCCGTGGCCCGGACCGCGGCGGGGGGGTCCCGCTGGCGCCGGCAGAAGGCGTGACCCCACCCCTCTGCTGGAAGCTGAGCGACCATTCACCCGCAGGCCCTGCTGACGTCAGGAGGGCACCTGCAGTGCCAACGGCAACACGGATCCTGCGTCGCCGCACCTGGAGCTCTCTGCTTGAGCATCTGCAACGGGCGCGTGACAGCTTCTGCTCTGAAAATTCTGGCAGCCATCACTGCCCCCCCTGCCCGCCCCCCCCCTCCTTCCCCCTACACTCACGTGTGCCCGGATTGGCCCCAAAGTACCACGTGACACCCACCGGCCAATTAAAAATAGCACTCACAGTACACTATGTGTGGTGAACACAATCTAAATTCCCTTTAGCTTTTTTTTTCTTCTTCTTCTTCTTGCTTACATTGTGGTGTCCACTGTAACCACATTCTCATGTAAGGGCTGCTGTGGTTTCGATGCTGCTTTCCGGTCTCATGGTAACTGGTACATCGACCCTGACAAGCATGGTGCATGCAGGTCAGTCCTGTCTGACCTGAGGCGTTATCTGTCACAGTTTGTGTTTGAGGAAGGAGAGGAGTTTCACTTCAGTCTAGGGCCACTGCCAAGGTTGTGGGACGAGCCGTCGCTTCGTGACCTTCGAAAACGCCGTAGCGTGACCCGACGGACACTTCTCACTGCCTTGTCCAATTCTCTCTTCCGCTAATTCCTCTCTTAAAACCTGAAGCCAGCAACTCGAAATCTCTCATATTGCTCCCCCCGTTCTCCAATATGCGAGTAACATTAAATAAATGTTCACCTCGAGATTCTCGTTCGGAAGGTGTTTTACCGTCCAACACGTTACACGACGCCCACAGAGCAGCAAAGTCGCAAGATTCTCAGAATCCGCCATCGAGTACCTGAGACATAAAGACATAAACACATAAAGCCATCAGTAAGCTTGGCAACCACTAACGGAGATATTTGATACGCAGAAAACATATTGTGTTTATGGCACGAAACATTAAACTATGGGGTGTCGTTAGAAATAGTTCATTAATCTTTATTTCAAAGGAATGAGCGCCCTCTTGTGTTCATTGAAGGACAAGCATCGTTACCAACAAGAAAGTTTGCAAACGACACTGTTCTTAGCGTTGTCGGTGATATATGGGTACTGCATTCCTCGGGTAATTTTCTTGATTAATAAACATCATTATTTTGAAAAAAATACTTCACTGAAAACTTTTACTCTCTCGCCAAGGCATTTAAACTGATGAAGCTGTCATCTCTTAAAACACTCTTCATCGTGACATTTCCCTGCAGAGGTAGGAGGGCACACTGGGGTTGCCAGGCAACCCTGTGTTGTGTCGTCAGCTGACCAACCCCCAGGGCCTGTGCATCGTGAGTCCTCCTGTGATGTCCTATTGTGGGTGGGCTGGATCTGGCCCAATCATATCAAGTTTCCTCAAGAAGGTAAGTGAAGCAGCTGCCCCCCCCCCCGGTAACATATCCAGAACCCAGCATGCAGAATGCACATTTACTCAATTTACCCAATTCATTTGGGATGTTTCATTCAGTAGCACTTAATTTAGCCAGAACACACACTGAAGTGACTTAGCGTAACACCAGAGTTTTAAATAGATCCCTGCACGCTCAGTCACACTTCTAAAATGCCTCCTGACATTTGCTACTGACCAAACCACACAGCTGCACCTAAAAGCATGTTATTAACTGTCAACATCTGAATGTGCTTCTGCTGGTGCAGGTAGAATGTGTTTGTGATTCCTCCAAAAAATAAACACCCATTGCTGGCTTTTGTAAAACATATATACTGTATATGTAAGTGTGTATGTAAGAAGCATGTAATTAATATGTAAACATTAACTGGCAGCTTTAAATACTGTCATTACATTCGTCTCAAACCTGACTCACCTGCAACTTAATTAATAATGATCTCCTTTAGCTAACTCCCAATGCATTTCAATGGATTCTTGAATGATTGTATTCTGCAAATATTGGGTTAATACCAGTTTTGTGTGGTAAACCAGTGACCAGTGCAACTAGAAAACAACAAAATACTCCGGTTTAAATTGGGGGGAGGGTGTCCTGTCTAATCTCAAATCTCTCGGTTCCATGTGCTTTACATTAAACACACATCTGTACCAAAGCAGTTTGTGAACCCAGACAGAAAAACACAGTCAGACCTGTATGATTTATATCCAGTTATTCAATGCATCAGAATACAGTATTTAATCCACTCAGTCATTAAAGTGCTAGTTCCTCTACAATCCTCTGCCTCACTTTCTAGAGAGCAACTTTTCATTTCTTGCCCCTGTCCTCATGGAACAGAGTTAAAGGACGTAGTCAACCCTTTTGATTGGCCACTGGCCAATGCATTCAGCCAATCGACTTTGAACTCTTTCCGGTCACATCGAGACTGTCGTTTTTGATCAGCACAAAAGAATAGAAAAAACATTTATTCTTAGCAGTTGTGAGAAAAAAGAAAGCGGTGGATTAATTTATTCAAACTGTCAAGAGATGAGGTTGGACGACTCAAGTGGATCAGAACATTCTGGAAGCATCTGCGGCATACATTTGACACATTTACAAGAACGGTACAGCTGGTGCAATCACGTGTTGCTTGGAAGAAGAAAGACCTTTCAGGTGACTATAAAATGTTTAAAAAATATAAACAGCAAAGAAAAACCAGGACTAACCAGAAAACGCCAAACAATGGCTGCATATTAAAACACATTCCTGCATTGAGTGTTTTGATGTTTTGAATTTAACATGGTAGAACATGGTGTTCACAGGCCATTCTGACCTCATTAAATAGTATTATCCTCCCTTTTCCCTAAAGAATATAAACAGAGGCATGAGAAGGGCATTCTTTGGGCCGATGCATTGGAAATGACTGTCACGGATGCCGGGTCGCGCTCGTTACAACAGTGTGATTTCCGTTCAAAAACGTGAGGGACCTCCGAGCGCAGCAGCCAGGTAACTGCGCCAATCAAGATGCCAATCTGTGTTCAAGTCACGATTACAGAGGTTGGGAAGCACTGAACCCAGTTTGACCCCCACATGGTACCTTCAGGAATACAGCCAGATCTAAAACCTTATACACTAATAAAAATACATAAAAAAAAAATGTCTCAGCAATGAACTAGCGTTGCAACGGCTGGTTAGGTGACAGATGAAAGTGCATTGTGGGGTCGAAACTTTTTATATCATAAAGGTCTCCTTATACGCATGCACGCACGTGCGCACACACACACACACACACAAAGTGCATTGTGGGGTCGAAACTTTTTATATCATAAAGGTCTCCTTATACGCATGCACGCACGTGCGCACACACACACACACGCACACACACACACACACACACAAATACACACGCGCGTACCTGTATGTTCCCAAAGGACAGACTGACAACGGAGAACGTAGAATGAAGACTGGACATTTCCCAAGCTGAGGCGAAACTAGACATCTACAAGACACACGGCATGCGGACGTGGTTCCGTTTTTAGATTCTGAGGTTCCAGAGCCTCCCAGACCGGGAGAGGAGAACGGGAGTGAGTGGGGGGGGGGGGGGGGGGAGCCATCCATGTTTTAAGAGTATAATCATTTTTGTTATTACTATTGTTGCTGTTTATGTTACTGCCAGTCAGAGCCAAGGGTGTAGCGGTCCTGGGACAGTAAGGAAGAGACCTGCATGTACACAGCAGATGAGCTCATCTGCTCCAAAAAGGCCCCCCCGACCCCTGATTGGCCCACTGTCCCTCTGGCATCACACAGAAGACAGAGAGGTCCCCACACAGAGAAGTGTCCATATGTAGCTAGGTGCCTCTGTGGTCCCCCAAACCTTATAAGCCCCAGGGCCTTGATTAGCAGGGGGGGGGGGGAGGAGTGGGACGTCTAGATGGGCCGGCGGCAACCCTCTTCCGGGAGCAGCGAGGCCCCTCAGAAGACTTGGATCATGGACTCCCGAGACTTGCCCACGCCGATCCACTTGACTGTGGGAGAGAGAGAGAGGGAGACTCCTGAGTGAATGCCAAGCCCTCCCCATTCATGACCTCAGGATGATGTCACAATGATGTCAACAGTAACCATGTCAACTGCTTCTCAGGGGTCATTCATCTCCACCACGCAATGCTGAGCACTGCAGAAGAGATGGGGGGGGGGTGTGTGACCATGTTCAAGGAACTCAAACAGGTTCTAGTCCTAGTTGCAAGAAAACCAACGACCCAAGGCCATACCGAGGTCACATGGGTAGAAGGTTTTAGACTACAGAGGATGCTGTCATGGGGACCATTCATTGTCGGTCAGGGCACAGATAGACAAGTTGGATAGTCAAGTGATCGTTCTCTTGTGATTTTCGGAGCTACACCAAATGTAGGTATACAGGACAATCCTCCATTGGGCGTATAACATACTAAAGATAGGTAGATGGCTCTAAAATTATAATACAGGGAACTGCCATTCGTACAAAAAGGTAATGATATGAATAAGTAACATCACGGCTTTAACGGGGGTCTGCCCTCACCAGGCACCTCCAGGTACGACTCGATGTAGGAGACGTATTTCTGGGCCTTCTCGGGCAAATCTTCAAACGTCCTAGCGCCAGAGGTGTCACTGTTCCAGCCAGGGAGCGTTTCATACTGCACCTCCACCTTTTGTAAGACTTCTTGGTTAGCTGGAAGACAGAAGGTAGCGCTGGACGTGGTTGGCATGGTAACGAGAGGTCTCTGTGTGTCCTCACAACCGAAAAGACTAAGAAGCCAAACCCTGAATGAAAAGACAAAAGGAGCCCTTCCCTCAGGCGCACGGGGACTCGCACTGATTTCGTTCTTTTTTTAACAAGTCCAATAAAGTTAATAATTAACCACCAATAAACCCCCAAAAGAATCCTTAGAAAGAGAGCCGGTGGGTTTCATCGCACAAAGCACACTGAACGGTCACCTGGGAAGTGAGGTATTAATTCGCCGTCCACCTTGTAAGCCACGCCAACTTTAATTTCAGAAAACACATCCAAAATGTCCAGTTTGGTTAGGGCTAGCCTGCAGGATGACAATGAGGAAGAAACAGTGATCAAACTAAACCGATTTGCTCAGCTGATTCCAATCCACTGACACAAGCCACAATGATACTGACAGTGAAATATCCCCCAATATCCATGGGAATGTGAAAAATGTAGGTCATTGTCTGCATTAACAACAAGATGGTCGGATCTACAGAACAGGAGTTAAACAGAAATAAATGCGGGCAGTGAGAATACTTACTGACCTACAAGCATGATAATTTTGTTTGTTTACTGTGAAACAAAAAACTTGCAGATACTGTGTGATATGAAAAAAGTGGCTATCGGTCTGAATGTGTGAGGCCTTCGACTCGGTGTCACATGCCAAGCGTGCCCAACGCTGGCACCGCGGAGAAAGTGCGAACCGGACAGTGCTGCAGAGGCGATGGCGGCGGCGGCCGAGTGCCACTTACGCAGTGAAACCGTTGATCATGTGGGCGTATTTAATTAGCACCAGGTCCAGCCAACCGCACCTCCTCTTGCGACCCGTGGTCACGCCCACCTCCTTCCCCCGGGTCTGCAGGAGCTCACCGACGTCCTTCAAAGAAGGCAAAGTGGAACGTCGGGCCAGATCTCGAAAACCAGTCTGTGCAGTTTCAGAGAGCCGCTGGGTATGCTGGCCTCCCATGTCAGGTCCCCGCTGGCTTCATTTCAGTCACCATTTAAGGTGCCTCATCTGGCATCTCAGGTGGAAACTATGTATAATGCTCTATTTAAAAAGAAAACTTTAAACAGCTGGATTCCATATTATTACATAAGTGGGCACCATAAGGCAGCCAATCAGGCTACTCAGAAATAGAAAGAAGTCATACATTCCTGGAACATCCCATGTGGAATGTCAAATACGGGCTGGTCAAATGAAATATTACATTCAGCCAATAGATGGTGCCGTTTAACAATAAACTGACAGCGGCTTCAAGAAGACAGGCGACGACCTGGAAACATGTTGAGTCACATGAAAGGAAAGGAACGCCGCTTCCACGGCGACAGCAGCGGACTGGCGGCGGTTGCTAAGAGACGGGCCGCCCTTACATTGTTCTGCTCGGAGGGGAAGGCTCCGATCCCCACACGTGTGGTGTAAGCCTTGACTACGCCGTACACCTCGCCCACATTCTGGGGGGGCATGCCCAGGCCCGTGCACACTCCACCCACGGTGCAGTTGGAGGAAGTCACAAAGGGGTACGTCCCTGAAAGAAGGAGCCAAGTCAGTGTCCTGGGGGAGGGCGAGGGAGACGGCATCACATGCGGAGATGTTATTTCAAACTCAGCTGTAAAAGCCATTCGCGAAACCGCAGGTTGTGCTGGATGGACCGTCCGGGCAGCCAATTGGAAGCCGGTCATATGAAGGTCAGCCACGCGGCTTGTGTTGTGTGGGTGGGGTGTGGAGTGAGGTGTGCTGCTGGGGGGGGGAGTGTTTTGTAACTTTAACCTGGGGGCAGGCACATGGCAGCGCAAGTCCAGTCACAAGGTGTCCTGCGTTGTTTCTACACGACCGGTGTGGCATCTGACTAGCCTGTAATTCTCATGTCCCCCCCCCAAGCCCCATGGGCCCAGCCCTTCCCTAAGGGTCTCATTTCATCTGGTGAGTGAGAGTGGACTGTTCATTAGCATAGCAGCCGGTGTGGATTGGCTAGCTCAAGAGCCAATCAAATTCCATTTTGCTCATTGGGAGCTCATAAAAATAAGCCAATGGACACGGGTTGTTTTGCCCAGCTCAGCACGGATCTGAACAGAACTGAATGTTAGTATGAGGTGTGACAGAAGTGGGGGAGGGGGTGCTCACCAAAGTCAATATCCAGGAGGGCTGCGTTGGCCCCCTCCACCAGAATCTTCTTCGGGGGCCCGTGCAGTGCTTGGTACATGAAGTACACGCCGTCCCGCACCATAGGTTGGATCTTCTCCACGTACACCTGCAGGCACATGCGTGTGCACACACAGGGTCATCACTTCTGAGAGACGCCCATCCTCCCACATGTGAGGCTCTGAGGTCGGCAGCCGACGACTCACCTGCAGTTTCTCAAGCTCGCCATCGATGTCGACCTCCAGCGTCGGGTACATGGCCTTGTACTGCATCGCTAACACCTTAAACCTGCAAGGAGGCGGACGAGTCCTTAAAAGAGCACCCAACATGTATGAGCGTTGATATGTTTGATGATTATATGGCTGCTGAAAGTCCTCAGAGTTCACCTCAACATTCTAGGTAAAATTGCGCAGCAATTACTAAATGAACTACCCAAGAGGCAAATAAGATTTTGTATATTTCAGCAGAAGATTCTACATGCTAGACATTCCACAGAAAACCACGGCGCTACCTTTCAGAGAAGTCATGGAAGTCGGAGAGGAGGTCGCATATCCGGAGGCCGCTGCGGGCCGCCTTGGCTGAGTAAACCGGCCCGATGCCCTTCTTCGTCGTTCCCAACCTGGAGAGATACAATAAACAAACCTGGAAACGCCAAACAACCTGGGCATGTCACTTCCTGTGACGGCGGAGCCGACATTGGTGAAGGTCAGGCTCATACACTCAGTGCATAGGCAATAAAATCTGGGGTGGGTTCCTGCATGGGCTCATCGGAATGAGAGCAGGTCCAATCCCTCCAGGGCCCAGATTGTGAAACAAACATGGCAGCCGTCTCGCCAGACAAGCAGGTGAGGTACCAGCACCCCTGCCTCTGCTTCCAACCAGGTCTGGCGTCCCACAATCCACATGCTTAGTGTAAAGCCGCATAGACACGGGTGATACTGTGATTGGCTGTCGGCTATCCTGACTGAGGTGTGATCATTTAAGCACAGGGTGCTGTGTACTGTACACAAAACTTGTGCCGGCAGATCTGCGGCTTCCTCGGTCTGTCTGCGTGCACCAAGCCACGTTTCCCAACCAAGAGTTCCTCATTTTCATGCCCTTGGGGGAGACGCTTAACCAGAATCAAAGTAAAACCTATAAAAGTCCAAAGCATCTCATCAGTGTTTCTCAATACCAAGAATGTAAAGATAGTATTTGTGGCAAGACCAGTCTTGCTAACTTGCCTTCCGAGACTGAACTTGGGACACAATGAATCATGGGATTGGTCTCGTTTGGCGAGGATGCAACCGATGTATTTTTGATAATTGAGGAGGGGCAAGAACGACATCCAGGGATTTTTAGTGCCTTATGAACTTCTGTTTCTGTGTATTGGAACTGGTCTTCGGCAATGGAAAATGAAGATAATCGGGTAAATGAGAACGGCTAAGTACGCATATTGAGAAACACCCCATGTAATTAAAGGTTTGATGAACAGGGTGTGTAATACGGGTCTGTATTATGTGGAGCTCAAGTTTTCACCCATGGAAAAAGTTCAGTCAGTAATAAACTTATCGTGCGAGAGACAAATACCCCTCCCCCTTTCTCAGGGGAATAGTCTCTTCCTGCAGTTTCCAACAGACCACTTGCCGGCAGGATGCTGAGAGACTCCTGTGGGGGGGGGGGTCTCACGATTCCTGACTGCGGCACCTCAAAGCACGTTTGCTTCATGCGAGCGTCCCACGGCGTTTCGCTGCGAATGTGCGGACAGTCACGCGACACTCGGTAAGCGATACCGCGGGCGGCTTTCCCGCCAACTCCGGCTGCTCCAACCTCCTTTTTTAAAGCTCTGCTCATGAACTTGACCTGCAGCAAAGAGCGCACAGGCTCAACTAATTCAGCCTCCTTCAGCCATGGAGGTCGACTTCATCTGGTGTCCAAAAGACCCCTTCGGGCAGCAGTGAGAAGGGCTTCTGCGGCTTAGGGGGTGGGGTACTATTGGGGACGGAGAGGTGGGGGACTTACTTCTTTCCTGCCTGTTGCTGCCGTTGCTGCTCCTGGACTCCATCTACCGCCTGGTGGAAATCGAAAACTGTTGGCAGAGGGAGACGAGAGATCTGTCACACCCGTGGCCCCAATAACCTCGTATCTCTGGCTGAAAACAAACAAAACAACCCTCCCCCCAGTCCCTGACATCAAACTAGTTTTTAGGTCACTCCCACACAAACGACTGTAGGACAAGCTCAGTGCCAACAGGAAGCCCAAGAGGAAGGCGGAGAGCGATCCCTGTGGGGCTTTCTCTGGGTTTTCCGGGACAGTCGCCTCACGTCACTGCACCCCGAGGTCACTTCCCTGCCGGCAGAGCTGAAGACGGGCTCTCGGTCACGTCACAGGACCGCCACCAACCGCACGCTGCAGCTTAAATGCGTCTTATGTTCTTGGGTATGAGGAGGAACAGGGAGCGGCTTGCTGGGGGTCCCTACCGATGTGCGCCCTGTCCGAAATGATCAGCCGCTTCTCCCATCCCTCCAGACCTGGGAATCGACGCCGGATGAGAAAAAAACATTAAAAATGAGACAGTGGGTCAGCACCCCTGTGCGGCCCCACTCTCATGAAACGGCAGATACCGCGGTGGTCTCCGAGAGAGCGGACCCACCTTTTCCCTTTCGCTCGTTCTTCTCCGCCTCTTCGAAGAGGCCTGGCAGGTGGATCACCACTCCATTGCCTGCGAAAAATGCCCTTTTTAACTGAAGAACAAGACCAGGAGGTAATTGGGACACCGGACAAACACCACGATTAACCTGCAAGGACCTGCTGGACTCAAAGATGTTGAGGATTCCTAGAACATTAGAGATGGAACAACCAGGCCACCATCTGTCTTGAGAACGGTACTTCATCCCAGCACAATCATCCTCGCTCTTTCCTAAAAGGCTCCAATACTGTCTTATGGTAATATGCTAATATCCAGTATGTGGGAATCCTGCAGCGGTTCTGTTTTACTACCCAGCTCAGAGTTTCTTATGATCATAAAGATTAATTTGATTGAAATAAAATACATATATTAGACTGGGAAAGTTTGTGTAAATAACTTACAAATACACCTTTAATATGCAAGGCAGAAAAAGTTGCCAAAAAAAACACGGAATATACTTAGAGAAAACTAAACAAAATGCCTTAGCGGATCTCTGTCATTCCGACTAAGGCTGGTTTCCTGTCGCCAGGAACGATAAACACAGAAGACCATTAGCGAAATGAGATTGCTACGGATGAACCCTGTGTGCAGCTCCCTGGTCCTTAGCCCTGGCAGGCGACTGGTGCCTTTGGCACGGCCTTGTGAAAAACCGCCTGACATCTCACTAATGAGGAGAACACCAGCTAAGAGCAGGTTTCACTCACATCCTCTTGACGATAGCTAATGTTCAGTTTTATCTGGGGGCGTGGTTAGGAGTCATAGGAATAATGCTTTGACATTTACGGTGGGTGGAGCTACTGGCAGCAGCCAATCACCAACAGGTTAAACCCAAGATCAACCAATCAGAAATCATCAAGGATGATGTATAATTATCAAAGGCGTCAAAGTCTAATCCATTATCATTTTTTTAACAGTAGACAAAATGTGTAGGCGGTGGTTTTTATAATTTTTTGGAGCAGTAGAGCAGGTCTTGCCATCTTAAGACGGGCGGCCAGGAACTTTGGCACTCACCTATGAACGCGGTGACGTTGGGGTTGATGATGCCACTGGGAAGGAGGTGGAAGTCATACTCCACGGCGTCCACGACCACAGTATGTCCGGCATTGTTTCCGCCCTTTGGAGACACCGAGGAAAAAACTGTTTTTTTTTTTTTTTAAACCTGAGATGCTTATTAAGCAGAAAAAAAAGCTTCTTCGGTGAGTTATGGCTTTCCAGATGCAGTCCAGATACAGGCTGCTGGCTGGAAAGCAGCATTTGGCACTTACAGAAGAGGGCCACCTTCAGATGGCACTAAAGCTATCAAAACCAATGCGGGTCCAGCATGGAAACAGGTTTTGTGCACATAATAATGCTGCCTTCTTATGTCCGTATTTTGCTCTTACGGTACGCAGAAGATCCAAACGATCCTAAAACAATTGAAAAACAATTTCTGGTTACTAAGAGACTACAGGTTATGTTTACACATATCTATGTCTTCCATCCGCAGGCAGCGTTGCCCTGGTAACCATCTACGCTATACTACATTATACCTGGGGTAGTCTGGAAGTCACCCCGGGGATCGCACTTAAGCTCACGTTTCCGGAGGTCAGCTCCAGTGATCCACCACCATGGCACGTTTATCTAGTTTGTATGGAAACATCTGACCACTCCCGCGCACCTTAACTTCCAATGACACCTCCCATTGTTCACTTCGAACTGGCATAATGGTGGCTGGGGTTGTCATAGCTCACAAACTATCGCCTAGGAGTTCAATTATAATTACCGGCAATGCCCCCCCCCAGGTAGGCATAGCGCTGAAAAAATCACGAGGTGAGGTAACATTAATGATACTTCCTGTTCCAAGTCTCGGCAAAAAGCCTTTAGAATAATACACCATTTTGATCAGGTTAAAAAGTTCCAAATATAATCTCTGGTCAGAACAATTTCTAAAAAGCCTGAGAATGACTGTCATTCCAAACATTAACTAAATAAAATGTAATATATGAATGAATATGCTAAAAAAAACGCACACAATTGGTTTCTCATCATGGGACTTCCTTATGGTAAGATTTAACAAACTTTTCCATTTCGTTTCGCATGTTTTGAAATTTTTTGGGATGCTGTTCTTGCATATTTGACACTTTTATTTTGATAAGTTGCTTCCATACATCACACCTGCATACCTGTAGGCCAAGGAGGTCCTTGTTGAGCTATGGACTCTGTTTGATGACCTGAATACCGTGAGAGGCTGGAACAGACCTCTAATCAGGATCCCCCTGCCCTGCCTGATGGAGGAGCCTTGTCGGCAGGAGGACCCTGCCTCAAAGGCCGCCATGCCGCACCGTGACCCCTCCTCGCGACCCCTCCTCACACCCCCTCCAGTTGCCGTGCTAGATCATGTTGTCAGGAGCTCCCATGACTGGCAGTGCTGTAACCTGGGGAACAACCGCTCTCCCCGGACACCGAAGCCTCTCTACACCTAGTCTGGCACCTTCTATTTCCAGACTGACAGAGGAATATGTGGCCATCCTAAACCGGGCACCCAGGACACGGATTTTTCCGTTGGTTTGTCATACGACGCAGTTGAACTTGTCCATGAGGGACTTGAACCTACAAACGCTGGCACCGAGGGCCCAGAATATTTCATATTATATAGTATATAAATAAATGCCAAACAGGGTCAAATACACCAAGACTGTCCTGGAGGTTTTAGAAGGACATCGCTCACATAACAGATGAGATTGGTGACGTCCGTATAGGGTCACTTACGTCATAAATCAGTCACAGAGATATCGCAAGCCCCCACACGCACCCAGGCGGGGTTTGTGGCTATTTTTTGACTAGCTACGTCCAAGGCGAGCGCACCAGAGTGCGTGTGCGAATGCCACTCCTTTCCTGTGGCATTTTACGATGCCGATGCAGGATGCCCGCAGCCCACGAGGTCACATCACGTGGGCTGCTCCAAAATATCACCGGGCCCCATGTAGCCGTGCGTTACCATTCTGGGAATCTATCAGGGTGCAAGTCGCAAATTAGACAAGCTCTCCTGTAAAAGCCAGGCTCCTCTACTTTTCCTAAAGCTAGCAGTTGACTGTTGGCCGATTAGCCGAATACTCATCCTGCTCCTGTCTAGGTATATCCCACAGCTCGCCGTATCAGGTTATGAACTGGCTGTGAAACCAGTTGTACGACACAAGATGAAACTTCTTCAGTCAGAGGAAAAGCCTTAAGAAGTCACTGGTACTGGAACAAAAATACATTTATTAATTTCTGCATATTCTATATAAAAGGCATTCAAGCAGCTGACACAACAGAGATGAACTGACTTTGTATTACCATCTGAAACCTTTAATTGGATAAGAAGAGATGTTGAACAAAGCTAATGAAATGCACAAAAGCCCACAAATAAGGAAAAACAGGCTGTTGGAATTGAAACCATGTTGGTGTTGAAATTCAAAACGGCTCAAAAACAAATGCTTTCAACACCGGGCGAGAATCCTGCAGCCCGAATCACAGTGCAGAGCCAGCAGAAACTTTGAATGCCCTCTGAGGGTCTGAAACCTATCCAACTGCGTCTCGAGGGACCAGGTGTCCGTTCTGGGGAACACGCAGCCAAATTCCCCTTGAATCCCCTACTAGGTCCCTCCAGGCAGCAATAAACCTGACTGGGCCAACAAACCCCGACCAGCTGGGCTTGGAACTCAAAGAACGAAGGATCTTCAGAACAGCAGGATTAATTCCTGGCCTAACGCCTTAACACCAAAGAAATACCTCCAAGAAAGTTCCAAGCAGTCCTCATTAAACTACCAAGCAAAGGGCTCTTTCCTGTGTTCTGGCTTTGGCACAGATCTGACAACCACTTTGGGTCATGAAGCACTACTTCAACACCATTGCTCTCCAGTCCAGGTCATGTTACGCTAGTGTACAGGCAGGATCCAGAACTTTAAGTAATGAAGATTCCAGTTTCAGTTCCATACTGATGCTCTTACTGGTTCAGAGAGGGGCAAAAAACTTGCACATAGACTGACCACAAACTGCAAATCACTAACAAAAAATATCCGTCTTACATAGCATAAAGAGCAAAGTTTCTAGCCAAGTATGACACAGAAGGCAATACTGGAAATTACAAACTAGCTTCTCCAAGCTATCTTCATAGCCACTATGTCATTTTCGCTGTTGTTAATACTAGCTTTGGCATTTTCCCTATCGACTGTGAACACTCAAAGTCCTAATCTTGATCTTTAGAGGAAGACACCAACGTGATACTATTTTGTTAAGCAAGTCTTGGCACATTTTCTTCTCTAAAAGAACAGTAGAGCATCTCAGCAGATAATCGTCCACAATCCCTCAGGGCACTGGAGTCTGGAGCAGGTTTTTTGGCCTTTGCACACAGGCAGGCTCAGGCTACCACCAAAGGACAGCCAACCACATTCCACCATAGCCCACTTGACAAAAGATCAGCAAACACTGGAGGGAGCAGCACCACAGGAACGCTGTTCATCAACAGTACCTGCCAGCACGGTGTTGATGTCACTCCTCGAGGCTCCTATGTCCGACATGAATCACCTAAGGAGAACCAGATTAGACAGGGCCATGTCCCTCGTCAAGGGTGACCAAGCAATCTTCAAGCACAAGGCTCCAGTGTGGCACAGATAAGACACATGGAAAAACAGAGACCGCAACATCTTTCAATGGGAATGTGTAAGTTTCAGAGCGTCTGTACAGCGGTTTCTGCATTATTAATTTCCTCATTTATAAAATCCACAGTTAAAAAACATTTACAGGTATCCAACAACCAGCTTATGAATTGATTGCATTATTTCATTAAGACAACCACAGATAACCACCTGAAATGGCTCTACTGTCAAAGGTGAGATGTGAATTGGCAGAGTTATATTTCATACACTCAACATGGGCTTAATGCATCAAAAAGTGAAAAAGTTTTTATTTACTAATGAGTCACATTACCAGGAAGAACTCTGAACAGTCTCCAGACTGCGGGAGGGGGGGGTGGGGGTGGGGGTGGTGTGATTTTCTCATCTTTAGCTAGGTCTACAGAAGGTGCCAACTGGATGGGCAAGAAATAATCAGCGACCGAACTGAGTGCGGCGCGTGAGACGTATGTATCATTCACACGTGTGCGACCATCAGGATGAGGAAGACCAGATCACTGAGGTGCCATCCCTCAGCTGAACGAAAACGTGGAGATGAACCCCCCCATGGGCATGCGGACACACCACCCCCGGTGCTCGCTTTGACACAGCAGCACATGCAGTTTTGTGGGTTATTTTTAAATGCCGCAGACTTGGCAGCCCGCCTGCTGTAGGGGTGGAGGGATCCTCGCCAGTGCGAGTGGCGAGGGGCAGCGGGCGGCGAGCGGTGGCGGGCGGCGCCCTGGGGGCCTGACTGCTGGCAGACTCCTGCCCGATGCCCAAAGCCAGCTGTGTCATCTGACGGCTGATGTGCAGCCTGCTGCACCGGCACCCGGCCCGTTTGCACATGGGGTGCAAATTCTCATTTATCTACCTGAGTGCCGTAAACATGGGCAAGAAAAAGAACTTTCCAGAATGCCTTCGACCGCTGTATGGAAAATCAGAGCCAGCTCCAACTGGGGAAAAAAAAACGATGAAAATGTTTCATTTTAACACCTGCTTGTGCACGTGAAGCAGAGCTCCCGGCATTTAAACTTGAACAGTCTATGTTGATTTACCCTTCGGTGTCCTCAGTTTGACTCGGAAACGGCCCACATTTCCCAGCCCAGAACAGCCCTTTTTTCTAAGATGCTTACTCACTTGCTGGGATTCAGCTTAAGTGCCGTTTCATCCCCCTGAGATTTTGTTCCAGCCTAAAACCTCATCGTGTTGAACGTTGAGTTCGATGTTCTGCTCACTGTCTTAAGTCACCATTCATAATACTCACACCGGAAGTGTGCCACCTACCTCCCTGATTCCTATAATTCTGCAAAGTCATTGTGTTGGGGGAGGGGGGGGTGCTCTGAGGTCCTCCAGGAGATGGGTGTGACAGGACAGGGAAGACTAAGTGAGCCCAGATACACGGCTCAGTGAGTCATCCTCGGGAGAGGGCCAGTGTGCTGTCAGGCACACTGTGGAGAGATATACTATAGGCTCTGGGTTT